TCAACATGCTGGAGCCAGCATCGGATTGCCAGCACAAGATATCTTGGTGACAGTGCGGTTGAGCGGCGTTGTCACCATGGGGTACTCATGGTTGATTACTGCCCGCGGCGGCTACCATGTTCTCAGCATGCAGAATCGAGCATGGGACGGGAGGCGGGGGGGGCGTTTATACTAATAATCCTTTTATGGGTTGTTTGTTGTTTTGCTTCCTTAACGTTGCATGGTAGGGTAGTGAGATGTCAAAGTACATCAAGCCATGGCGCCCGTTGCTGTCTTGCTCAGGCAATCCAGTACCTGCATTGCTTGAATGTCACCCGACCATATGAGCTCCGTGCAATCAAACGAAGTAGTATGCCTGCCTCAGGAACCCCAGGTTCACAATGAGGCACAGGATCTCCTCCTACTGCAGGACTATGTGCACAAACTGACGAACACTCTCAGAACTCTGGAGGACACCCACGCCGTATTGCAGCAAACGGAACTCCTTGCAGGTGTTATCAACGAGCAAGACTGCAGAGACATTCGCACAGCCTGCTGTTGCATAAGAAGTCTGCGCATTCGAGTAGAAGCCCGTGCCAACGTTACAGAGCGAGAAGTGATTAGTCGACAGCTACAGCTCATGCATGCGAGCGTACAACATTACCGGACTGAGGACCTTAACACTGCTGACACAAGTTGCCTGTCCAGAACCTCTTTTGAGCACTTTGAGGATAGACCTGGTCCCTGTGCAGAGAAAAACGCTCGTATTCCTACACCAATGTAACTGAGCCAGCTACCATGATCATTGACCGCATCTAATGCAGTTGATTTCAACACCTGCAAAGTTGACCGCTCGAGCTGCGCAACGCTTGCAAGCCTGCATCCATGCGGTCGAGCTCGCCCTTCGCGAACTCGATCGCATTGGATTCAGTTTTGAAAGTGGTATACACCGCCAAAGTGCATTGCAACTCCCATATATGGGTACTATCTCCCATATCACGAAGATGCAATGCAAGAGCACTAGCATGGTAGTGCCGCTCACAATTTCGGTGCAATATGATGATTGGAAAAGCAGTACTGAGCGGACTCTGAGGGTACCTGAGTGCTGTTACCGCGCCGTCTTTTTCACCTTAGGTCACGTTTCACTCTCCTGTTTCACTGCGGTAGTTTCTCACCACTTTGTTGTGACCCGGCGTTGTCGGTGTTTGCTTCAAAGTGTCAGGGTGTTGAATGTCATGCCGTAAGGCTGCTCGGTGTGATCTCGGGGATCCTGGCTGGGGGGATCCCTGGTTTCCGCATTGAGCCTTTGTTGCTTCCCACACCCTTCAAGATGGCCATTTTTTGTGGTTTTGTTCTGTTTTGGTTCGTGTTTGCTTTTCAGATGGCCTGCGCGAAGGATGGCACACAAGCTGCTATCGGAATTCATCTCAAGAGCACATAGCTGTCCTTTGCCTTTTTTGTGCTGTTTTTTGTTTGGTTGTTTTTTGTGTGTTTTGCTTTTTGTGGTTTTTGTTTTGTTTGCTTTCTTGTTGTTTTGTGCTCTTTCTCGGCAATTGGATAGCTTTATGGACTATGTAAAGGTCCACACCAGCTCTCTTTTGTAGCCTTCTTTTACCGATGGCTCTGCATGCATATCAATTCAATTTCCGGCAAGTAAAAGCTTGTGTAACGACCTGGCGAAAGCCTCGGAGGCGTTGGACGGAAAAAAAAAGCTGTCAAGATTGAGTACAAAGAGTACTTCACGATGGATGCGTATGAGACAGAGCTGGATGTGGACAAAGAGATGGAGGACGAAGATGAGATATGGGCTGGAGAAGAATCTGTTGAGCTGCATGGGATTCCTGAAGGAGTCTGGTCTGATTCACCAATTGATCAGACACCGTTGCCACCTGAGAGCTGGGTTGACGAGCTGGCTGACAAAGTGGAAATCCAACGCTTGTGCGCGATGCAGGTTTTGATTCCAGCAAAGCAGTTTCAGGGTGAAGTGACTGGCAGCCTCACGACAAAATTCGTGAGGGATTGGAGGCTGAAGCAATGGGGCGAGGGTGAAAATTCAAAGAAGAGGTGGATGCGCAGATCGCGCTTCGTAGCACGAGAGTTTGCAGTGTCAAAAAGGTTAGATACATTTTCACCTGCGACAGGTGCCCACACTTCCAATTTGCTACCATTGAAATACTTGTGGATGAAAAGACAAGCTGCTGAGATGGAGTCAAAAGACTATGAAGTTGTGATGGCAAGCATTGATGTTCGTGATGCATTTCTGCAGGTTGAACAGAGGCAGCCGATACTTGTGCATTTGCAAAATGAACCGTTTGTTATCAACAGAAACCTTCCAGGACAAAGGCTGGGAGCTAAGCAGTGGTTTCTTCATCTCCAAGCGTTTTTGAAGGAGCGCATGGATTTTCAGTTTTCAGCAGTGCAGCCTTGCATGGCCAGGAACTCAAAAGCCACAATCCTCATTCATGTGGATGACATACTTTTCGTTGGTTTGAAGTCGTTTTGGGATGGAGTCTTCTTGAAGGAGATGCAGCAGAAGTTTTCGATTTCACATGAGCAACTGAACGGTGTTGGCAGTAGCATCAAGTTCTTGAGGCGGACGATGACTGAAACAAATGAAGGTTTGGTCATTACACCTGGAACGAATGTTGAAAAGATGGTGAGACTGTTTGAAAAGGCTTTTGGACCAGTGCGTAGCCAAAAGACACCATGTGACCAGTCCATACAACTGCCTGACAATTCTCCCAAACTTGACAAGAAGGATGCAACATCTTTTCGTTCTCTGGTAGGGCTTTGCTTGTACATTGCACGTGAACGTCCGGACCTCATGTTCCCGATAAAGGAGCTTGCATGTGCAATGTCATCACCGACAGTAGCAGCACTTGGTCACTTGAGGAAATTGGTTGGATTTATGAAACAGATGGGAGACATAGGTGTACGCTTGCATGTGCCGATGCCTGGACAGGGAAAGTTTGCTTCAGGAAGTTCTTGCAATTGGGTTTTGGAAAGTTACACAGACGCAGACTGGAGTGCCAACAGAAACCACCGCCGATCCACTTCTTGCGGAATGCATTTCCTCAATTCTTCATTTGCATACGGAAGCAGTCGGAGTCAAAAGGTGGTGAGTTTATCCAGCTGTGAAAGTGAACTTCACTCAATGGTCAGCAGCATGTGTGATGGGATTTTCATAAAAGCATGTGCAGAGTTCATCCTGAACGAGGAGGTGGAACACATCCAGTACACCGACAGCTCATCAGCCAGACAGCTGGCATGCAGACAAGGCAGCGGACGTGTCCGCCACCTTAGCGGCAAAATCTTGTGGGTGCAGGAGAAAACAGAAGATGGCTCAGTTGTTTTGAGACAGGTTGGAACGAGCGAAAATCTTGCAGATATAGGTACAAAATGTTTGACAAGACAAAGGCTTCTGTACCTCATGCATGAAACAGGCTTGATCTATATCCCGTCCTTCGAAGATGTGGGACAGGAGGAGTTTTCGAGACATACTGAAAAGGTTGGAGGTGCTGCACAGATCAAACGGATTGCAAAGGCCATATACCGAATGTCACTTGCGATGGGCCTTGAGCCACTCAACAGACCTACAGGCGCAATGGCATTTCCAGATGTTTGCCATGGACTGGAAGATGAGCCAAAGTACAATGCATGGTGGATTTTAACTGTGACGTTTTTATTCATCTGTGTTTTCACAATTGGTTTTCTGGCATGGAAACGTTTGAGCAAGAGAGTGCTGGAAGCAGAGATTGCAGTTGGAGGTTTGCAGGTGAGCCTAGCTGCAGTGCAACAACAGCTGGCAGATCATTATGAATTTGCAGCCGAATTGGACACAAGGTTGAATACAGCTGGAGAAGTGCACGATGCTCTGGTTGAAAGGTATGAAGCTTTTGAACATCAGGTCATGGAAAACCTGGTGAGCAATGAAGAAAGTGCGGATTGCATCAGGTACGGTTTGATGGAGATTGGAGGCTTCATCCGTACGCAAACACTCAACAGAGAGCAGCGTAACCATATGCTGATTCAAGAACGTGCCAATTTGGTTTTGTGGAATATGAGACATCAGTCAGAAACAACAGATGCAGCAGAAAACGACAATGGTCATGAACATGGAGAAGAAGAAGCAGTTGAAGATGACCCGGAGATATCCCCCGACGCTACAGTCCTGCTGGATAATCTCCGGAGAGATCAAAACAATGCACTTGCAGGTGAGAGGTGGAACGAATCCAATCAGTTGCAACAGGCGATTGTGACGTTGTTGGATGCAACCTCAGGTCCAAATCCTGAGGGGTTATCGATGAGAGTGATCACTGCAGTCAGAAACATTGGGCAAAGACTTTACAGGTATCACCGCAACAGAGGCTTGGACGAGAGAGCGCAGAGATTCTACAGATATGTCACGGATATGCAAAGCATGATGACATGAAGGAATTTGGAAAAGGAGGCCGGTGCACATTCAAAGAAAGAGTTTGGATGAATGCGCTGGTTGTGCAAAATGACGAGAAGCCTCCTCATTTTGAGGAGGAGTGCAAAGAATTGTGCGGCCTACTCACATGGATGACACACACAAATCGAGATGTAACAGTTGTGTCACTTTCATGTACCTGTCATGGAAACTCATGATTCAGGTTGATTTCATCGAGGCCCTTTTCGGCACAAAAGCGAGTGCATGCGTTTCTCAGTGAACCTTCGCAAAAACAAATGCATTTTTCCCCAAAACATGTAGTTCTTAGTTCTTCTCAAAATTTCGAGGGAAAGGGCACTTAATAAGCAACAATAGTCAGACAAGCGTTCAACCATTTGAAACCAGCAGAATTGTCCGAAATCAATTTTTTCGAAGGGCTGCAGTTGTTGCCGCAGCTTTCGTTTTCGGAGCCTAATCATTTCAACACTATTCTTGTTCCGGAAGCAGAGATTGGATTTCATTCTGGTTCCAAAAGCAAGGATTGAATTTCAAATCACCAGCGGCTCAATGCAGACGGATTGCTATCAAATGTATTGACGCAGCGTTCACCATGGCATTCCATGGCGAATGTGAAAGTCTGTGGTGTCAGACTGGCACCAGATATGTAAGGCTTGGAACCGTAAACTGTTTCCACCAGTTGAAACACTAGTAAAATCAGTTGTTGTGAATACTGAACACAAGTGTTTTGTTTCAATATCACGCGTTCGAACTCGACAAATGCAGGAATGCCGCTGAAAACTCTTTTGGGGAGTTTGTGTGCAAGTTCAATCGCCCATCCTCTGTGCGACCTGGTGTCAAGGCAAGCTGTCTTGTAAGACACTGAACCCACCAAAACCATGCCAGAACACCTTTAACTTGTGCCCCGGGTCACATTTTTTGCCAATAGCTGAGCAGGCTGTTTGAATTCGATTATTGAATGGGAAAACCAATTCCCAGAAAAAATACGACTCTGGGACGACTTTCCACTCTACTACCACTTTTGCCTCTGGTGTCAAATTGTACTGTCGTCAGATCGACAATCGTGCAGCAAAAATGTGAGTTCAGGCTAGCTACTTCAAACAGCAGACTGTGCAATAGCATTCTAGACTTGAACCTTCAGCTGGCAGGCACTTTCAGCCTTTCTTGAGAGCCCCCTTCCAGCTCACTTGCAGGCAGACCCAAACGCAGGAGTGAATGAACATGAGAAACCGCTATTGAAGTCAACTTGGCTTTTCTTTTGCAGGCGAAAACTCCAGAATATGATCCAACAAACTTTTTGGCGAGCAAGGGTGCGCATGATGAACATGCCAAGCAGGCTGATTGGCATTTGTGCGAATTGTCACACAAGTTGGAGCAGATCTCCACACTGAATCTGCACGCATACACGCAAATCATTGAATACATTTGCATACTCAAAGCACTTGAAGGAACTGGAAGCGCTGACAAAGAAAGCAGGCACGGACATTGCACCGACATTTGGTCTAGACGCATGTTGACCTGGGTGCATGTGGCAGTCCAGGCCACGCTGCAGACAATGCACTGGAGCCTCATTTGCACAAGACATGCGTTTTCTAAACGTATTCGTCGGAACGTGCTTTGAATTCTTTGCGAAAATCCAGGCGTTCAGAAGCATCATTTCAGCATATTCCAACAAAGCGGATCTACCAGCAAATTGGCCCTCTCGCCGGAAAGACTTGAAATACCTTTCAACTATTTTCAACTGCCTTTCAACTTTAGTGGTTGTTTCCTTTTTCGCAAGTCCATACTGAAGGGATTTTTGTTTGGCCAAACTTTGTCCTCGCTCTCAAGATCTCGAGGTTTTGTTTTGTTGCCAACTTTGATGTCTGACAACTTGGTGGCTTGTCCATTCCTAACTCTGAAGTTCAAAAAAATTGGTCAGGCTGCAGCACGAACTTTGAACCTTTTGGGATGTTGATGCCCCAAACTCGTAGTTGTCTGAAAACTGCAATGGCATCCAGGCAGAAACCCTCTTTGTTCTTACTTGGATCCCAGGATTATGCCTACAATGCAGAAATTGACACCACAAGAGCAAATGAAAAAGCGGATCTTGCAGAGGCACGCCGGCTTTTGTCTTTGATACTTCAGTTGTTCAGGTTGAGGTGCCACTTCGGGGGACACTTTCCCCTCATTTGCTGCGTGTCCCTCCCAGATTGAGATGGAAAATGCTGAGTCGTGGGAGGACTACGAGCTGCAACTTGTCTGTATATAGAAGTATTGAGACCTGCAGCATTTAGAGTCTTGAAAGATCTTGAAAGGTTGCTCAGGTTGGCAAGGTTGCGTGCGTATGATTCTCCATTGATCACTGGTTTCTGCCCCATCTCTCCGAGAAAAGCTTTCACACTAAGCTACCATTTTGATCATACAGATTTGTGGCTCAGGTCCCTGCTAGCTCTCCTTTCACTCGTGATGGTTGGAACCACAGGATGGCTTTACACGCAGTGACCCAGCCAATTTGAAGGACTACACACAGTGACACACACATTGCTTTCCTTTGATGCTAAGTCGCTTTTGATTTTGCCAGGTATCAGCGTTGGATCAGCATCAAGAAGGCCAAAGATTTCATGCTCGATATTTCTACAATTTTTCCTGTGTTTTTCGTACGGCGTTTGTTCTACCCCGACTTTCCTGCATCATCAAACAAAAAAAACAAACATTTGGCCATACATTTGTACACACAGCTCCCCCTGTTCCCCGCTGGCTCAATTCTTTGCACCCAATGCATCCCAATGCCACCATGTCAAAGCATGGAAAGTTCGCCCCAAGCTGCGGTGAACATAGCCTAAACCGTGCACAATTGAGCCAAGAATAGTGGATAGTGCATATCAACAGGTGCTATCAGGAGCGTGCATGCGAAAGTGAGTTCTGACTCTTTTCCAGGCTTGCGTTGAAATTAATGAAATGGGTGGAATCAATGAAACTCCCGTCTTTGCCGTCAAACAACATAGCCTTCGCAGCCCACACTTATGCGAACATAGCGTCCTGATGGGTCTTTTAGTTGCAGGACCAAGTGTTCTGGCAGACCCACTACCCCTCATGCCTTTGACTGCACAGCAAGTCTCTGCAAAGGTATCGCGGTAAGATCAAGTTAAAAGTTATCCATTTGTGAAACCACTTTTTCCATGACCGGATGTGAATTGATTTGACAGGTGCTCTTTGTTAGTGGAATCTTCTGAGATTAGGTCTATATCTGTGTATTATATGTATGCTATGCAAATTAATTATGCAAGTATACAGACATATGTGACATATTTATGTATGTATGTGTGTATGTATGTATGGATGGATGGATGGATGGATGGATGGATGGATGGATGGATGTATGGGTGTATGTATGGGTGTATGTATGGGTGTATGTGTGGGTGTACGTATGGGTGTATGTATGGGTGTATTTATGGGTGTATGTATGGGTGTATGTAAGGGTGTATCTATGGGTGTATGTGTGGGTGTACGTATGGGTGTATGTATGGGTGTATTTATGGGTGTATGTATGGGTGTATGTAAGGGTGTATCTATGGGTGTATGTGTGGGTGTACGTATGGGTGTATGTATGGGTGTATTTATGGGTGTATGTATGGGTGTATGTAAGGGTGTATCTATGGGTGCATGTATGTCATTGTATGTCATGGTATGTCATGATATGTCATGGTATGTCATGGTATGTTATGGTATGTCAAGTTATGTCATGTTATGTCATGTCATGTTACGTTATGTCATGTCATGTCTTGCCATGTCATGTATGGATGGATGGGTAGATAGTTGTATGGTTGGATAGATAGATAGACAGATAGTCAGATAGACAGATAGATAGGTAGGTAGATAGATATCGGTATAGATACACAAATTTTAGATATCGATACAGATGTAGATATAGATGCACATGTAGATATAGATACAAATATAGATATAGAGATAGATATAGATAAATATAGATAAATATAAATAAATATAGATACATATATATCTCTCACACATGTTTGTGAATGGGGCAGCCAACTTCAGGTTCAATGCCCACTGCAGGTCTGCCGCGACCCGTTTGTTGCCATAGGCGGCAGCCTGCGTCGGCGCTTGAGCCAACGGTTGACGACCCACCGTCGTCACCTTCCAGCGCTCCAGAGCCTGAAACTACTCTGGAACCAGCTGCTACAGCACCTGTCCCTACTGAGGCTCTCCAAAGCGACGCACGCGTCGTTCTGACCGTTGGAGTCGCCGAAACTGTCTACATAGGCCTGGTTGGCCTTGAGCCCACCGAAGTGCAGCTCATCCCTGGAGCTGAAGTGCGTTGGTACGCAGTGTGGTCAGTTCCCGGACAGAGCCAGGAGACCATAGCTGGAGTCCACTGGGGACAAGACACCAGGGCCTACAGCAGTATCCTCCAACTGAACGGAGGTCACTTTGGGGGAATCAGGTGGCGACGCTGCGACAACAGAGCGGCGGCCCAAGCCACCTTTTCTGCCGAAGCTCATCGCTACGGCCTGGAACAGAGCAGAGGGGAAAGGCTGATTGGCTGGATCAATGGGGCCTAGAGCCGGTGCCCGAGGGTACCTTCTGCTTTGTGACAGTCTTGAGGAGCCCAGATGGCGGCAAGCTCTAGTGGTTGCCGTCGAGGATGGATGGCTGAAAACCTTGGTGAGAAGTTCAAAAGAAGAGGTGGATCGATCACAACTGTCTCATGTGGTAGTGAAGGAGACATGCTTCTGCCTAGTCGAGGCTGCGATGGAGCAGATGCGAATTGGAGGCCCCTCAGAGGCCATGGATTTAGGCGAGGAGAACAAGGACCTTCTGGCAGCGGCCAAAGTGATGTTAGAGTCGGAGGACGACCTGAACTTTGCCACCGCCTCGGACATTGTCACAAGGAAGACAAAGAAGAAGAAGGCTATGGTAGAGACGTTGAGCGATTCTGGGGAAGAGGACGGTGTGAGCAGCGAACTGCTACAAGACCTCAGAAAGAACTGGCTCGGCTCTGGTACCACAACAGACAAGAAGAAAAACGACGTAGAACAACCAGGAACAGCTCATCGCCGATCCAAAAGGTTCTCTCTCATCGAGAAGGGCCGCCGGAGAGATCAGAGAGGAGAGGGACCAACCGATTCAGAGGCAGCCCAAGTCATGCTGAAGGCCGCCCTTGGAGCGAACGACCCTCTGCATGGTCTTCTGGCACTCCAGATAGCACAAGGCATAAAGAAGGATCGGCGATCGAAGAAGCATCGTCGGCGCAGTCCTTCAGACAGCAGCAGCCGGACCCTGAGCTCTTCAAGCAGCTCAAGCTCCGAAAGCCTGGGAAAGACCAAGGGACATTCAAAGTCCGTTGCGAATTATCGCAAAGCAGGTCGGCGAAAGTTCCGCAGGCCACTCAAATATGTGCGCAAGTATGTGCGCCATGTGGAGGAGGAGTTGGGAGCCCAAGACAAACCATTCCGACTTGTGGATTTCAACAGGAAGATCCACTTTGGGAGACAGCAAGACCTGAAGAGATGCCACTACCTGGTGAGCATCATCCTGGAATGGCTGTTGAAGGAAGAACCGCACAAGGCAGCTCTCCAAGCTACGTTGACTCCGCAAGCCATGCACCAAGCAGCACTGGATCAGAGTTGGGACATAGCATGGCTCCTAACCCATGTGGCCGAGGATCCTTTCAAATCCCGGTTGTTCGGGGGAGACGAGGAGTCGTTGCAGCACGTGACGGCGTATCTGAAAAGCATGAACGAGCTGGCACAGAATACACATGAGTCTCAGGCAGAAGGGCGGAGGGCGCGGAGAGACAGACGACGCATCGACCAGTGCAGCCCCCTCCTACGCAAAAGGAAAGGGGAAGAACAGCAACAAGACCAAGGAGAAAGACAAGGACAAGGACAAAGGTGCCAACGAGAACTGAGCCATGCATCCGACCGTCCTTGTAACATAGACGCAGGAGGCATTTTGCCTCAGATGCCGGTTGTACAGTGCCTAGAAGGAAGCTGGGGCTCTTTTGGGCGGTTTTGGAAGATTTTGAAGTCCTCTTACCAATCTCATGGAAATAAGGGGTTGGGGCCTATGACACCCTCAAAAGATCAGGGGGAACACCTTTTTCCGTCTCTTTTGGTTGTACCAGAGTTTACTGGTGAATCCAAGGGTTCTCGTAGGAGGGCTCGGAGGCGAGACCGGTTGGGATCATGGAGATATGCTGAAATGATGTGGGCGTATTTCTGCTTTCTCGATGCGGGGTCACCACACAAGACTTCGGACCAACATAGGGTTTTGCATCGAGCTTCTCAAACACCTTGGACACCAATGCACTCCAAGTATGCCGGTTTTTTGCATGAAGAAATTAATAGGTATATCCGCCTCCAGTGTGATAGTGAGCCCTTGAGCCGCGGAATACTAAAAATTAGCGAATTAGTTAAGGTCATTCGTAATTCATCATACACCAATAGCCCTTCGGTAGACAAGCTTGCGCGAGTTGCTAAGAATGTTGAACCGAGCCGCATGTCATTGCCCGCAGCAGCCGGCATTGTAGATCCCCGCCGTTTCTTGAAGGGACACCACCTTGAGACGTTCGACAACCTGGCTTCTTGCATCCCGCATGGTGTCGAGCCTGCTGTAGCCACCAAGGGTTGCTTCAATGTGGAACCAAAGGAACTGTTTGAAGTGAACTCAAAATTGCTCCGTTCAGGGGTTGCCACGTTGATCCCTGAGTCCATGGGCCTAAAGGATAGTCACGGTAATATCATCACGGGTGGTTTGTTTGCTGTGGACCATAAACCCTCTAGTGATAGAATAATCCTTGATAGGCGTCCCTTTAATGAACTGGAGCGTAGGTTGGTTTGGGCAAAACTTCCTCATGGCTCCCTTCTTACTCAGTTGATTGTTCCCCCAGGTTACTCGATTAGGGGCAGCGGCGATGATCTTAGCAACTATTTCTATCTCCTCAAACATAACCAGGACTGGCTCCCTCGAAATGCGATCGGTAAAGCTTTTGATGGGGAAGGATATGAAGAGTGGGGTGGGGAAAAGGGCAAAATGTACTTGTTATCATTCCGGGTAATAGCTATGGGTGATTTAAACGCAGTTGACTTGGCCCAACAAGTCCACCTTGAAATTCTCCAGGACGCAGAGTGCATGAAACCTGGGGAATGCCTAATGTTTAAGGAACCCCTTCCAGCTTCTCATACCCTTGAAGGTTTGTACATTGATGACCACATAATCACCCAAGTCCTCCTAAGAAAAAGTACCGTAGGAAGTCAGACACCTACCGAGATGAGGAGTTGCTGGCTAGAAGCAGGAGTCAATATAGGCACCATGGCATTCCGACGTCGGAAAACAAGGCGCTTGCGAAGGCCGAAAAGTTCACGGCCTGGGGCACCGAAGTCGACAGCAAGTCAGGAAGAGTAGGCACTCCACTCATAAAACTGAAACAGCTCTCACAGCTTTTGAGCTCAGCTTGCAAATTGAAAAGTGTTTCGAAGAAATTGCTGCAGGCCATCACCGGCCTTTTGGTGCATCCCTTCATGCATAGACGTAGCCTTATGTGCATCCTGCAGGACACCTTCATGTGGATTGAAAGACTCAAAGAGGGCGAATCTCGCCCCCTGCCAGTTGCAGTTCGTGAAGAATTGTTGTGCAGCGGGCTCATGCTTCCACTGTGTCACAGCAACATAAGATGGGAGGTGTCCTGCAGGGTTGGAGCGAGTGATGCCTCACTCAGTCACGGGGGTAGAGCTGCTGCATTGGTCAGTAGACCAGTAGCCCAGACTTTATACCGATTCGCCGAACACAAGGGCGAGCACATACGTTTGGATTGGAGAAAGGCCAAGTTGCGGCAGCTTCAGAGATGCGTCAAGCGCCTCGTGAGCTAGAGGACCTTCTAGCCGATTTGCCTTGGAATAGCACCGAATCTTGCCAATTCGCTCATCGGCAGCACATAAACATTCTGGAGACCAAGATGATTCAGCATGAATTAAAAGACCTAGTTGGTAAAACGACAAAACCCCTCCGTAATGTTTTGCTGGTTGATTCACGAGCCGCCGCAGGAGCATGGTGCAAGGGCAGATCTTCAGCGCGTAATTTAAACCGACTGCTTCGTCAATCCCTGGGATGGTCCATAGTGGGTCGGAAGACCCTTCACTTAGTATGGGTAAGATCAGAAGCCAACCCGGCAGACTACCCTTCACGACGTAAGAAAATTCCTCCCCCTAAGGACCAACCTAGTAAGACCTCGACTATTGCTTTTGGGAGTGAACTCAATAACTATAGGACTCGTAGGACCAACAGGGATATATGGCGAGAAGTTTGCAGAGACTCCAGTCCCAAGTCAGAGACTGGCAATCCTCCGGCGCAGCCGCGCCCCGCAGTTAGCTTTTGTGAGCGACCGCATGAAAATTTTTCTCATCACAGCTGCTCCGCTGCTGCAGATATTCACGACCGCTCTCCTGAACACCCTGCAACACAGAAGTGGAGTTTCCGGGAGATATTTGCGGGGACTGCTCACTTAACTCACTGTTTTTCACAAAGGGGAAAGATTGCCACACAGACTCCTTTTGAACTCATGAAGCATGGAAAACCAGACCGTAGCCAAGATATCACCGACAATAAAGTCTTCAACAAGTTGTGCGAGGACGCATGCAAGCCTCATCAACTTTGGCATTTTGGATTTCCCTGCGGGTCATTCAGTTTGTTGCAAAACCTTAACAAGGGCACTCGCTCAGCCAGCTGTCCCATGGGTGACGGAACTTTGAACAGGGAAAGGGTAGGCAATGAGATCATGAAACGTACGATTCATTTATGCCGGCTTCTCAACAAACATGGTTCCTTTTTCACCTTAGAGAATCCAAAAACATCATATGCATGGAAGACACCCCATATGATCAAACTACTCGCAGATTGCAATTGCACTGTGGTAAACATAGATCAATGCATGTTCGGTTTAAAGATCCCTCAAGCCTACCACATTCGCAGGTACCTTGCCATGCCTTGCTCGTTTGGAACGCCGTTGTGATCATCAGCATCAGCATGTAGCAGTGGTTGGGGGAGTCGAACATAACCACAAATGGTGTCGCAGATCTCAGCTGGCAGGGGCATATCCCAGAAAATTACCCAGCAGCTATGCCAAAATTTTTGAAGGACTGTTCAACTGAGGGTTATGTAAGCGTGCAGTTTTTTGGAAAACACGTGCATGTGTACAGTGCAAAGCTTGACCACTAGTTTTTTAATGTGCATGCCGCCATGCCTGGCGCTCTTTCTCAACTTGGGAATGGCAAACTCAGATGGGGCAAATACAGCGCCAGTTATCGGGCGCGCCTTTTGGAAGCTGCTAGGGTGCTGATGGTATTCATGACCGATCATGGGCATGGATGGGAGCTCATAGCCTCTGGAAGATCTAGGAAAGTGGATGCAGTGCTAGAGGAGTTTATCAGAAGCATGCATGCAAGTGGCGAGAAATCCTCTCTCCGCATAGCCAAGCACGCCATTCTGTATGTGCAAGCAGCTCGCCCTAGACTGAAGAAGACCTTGAAAGCCGCTTGGAACGCAGTCCGTACATGGGAAGAGCAGACGCCCACCAAATTCCGGGCCCCTTTGCCCCTCAGCTTGTTGGTGGCGCTGACGTGTCAGAGTCGTGTGCAAGCTGCTCGGGAAAAAGGGAACGCAGGCAAGTCACTCTGGCTTGCGTTCAGTGTGATGCTCAGTGTGGGATTTTTCGCCTTGCATCGGCCGGGAGAACTGTTCAAGTTGAAAGGCTCACACGTTGTGCTGCCTAATTCAATCTCCCTTGGGGCACCATTCGCAATAGTGCGGCTTGAGAGTCCCAAGAACTCTAGGCAAATGGGAAGACAGCAATTCGCGGAGATCTATCATCCAGATGCGGTGAACTGGCTGGCGTGGCTGGTCTCAAAGACTAAGCCAACATCCCTGCTGTGGCCTAGCACTCCCAACCGTTTCCGCATGATGTTTCGACAGACTTGCGCTAGATTGGGATTGGAAGGGTTAAAATTGTCGCCCGCCTCACTGCGAGCCGGTGGACCAACTTGGATGTTAGATGAGAAAGTAGAAGTTTCAAGAATCAGATTTCACGGCCGGTGGGCCAACCTTCGGTCTCTGGAGCACTATTTGCAGGTCGCAAGAGCACAGCAAATCAACCTCAGTCTTGGACCCTTGATCATCCTACGCATTAAGAGGCTCATCCACCAGTACTCGTTCATGCTCTCCCTTCCCACCTTCTTAGCGGCTCAAGTCCAAGACGAGCATATGCTACCTAGTCAACCATTGACAGTTGACGACCTTCGCAATGTCGTCGCAGCCGTGCGAAGATGGGGAAAGTTGGGACAAGCAGTTTAAACGTGCAGTGGTGGCCGGAGGGCCGCTCAAAGGGGCCCGATACACTGATGTGGGTTGGGATGATCTTCGAAAAGCCGCCAAGTCTTACAGAGGTGATGCACGATTCAACCAATATGCCAAGAGGTGCCTCTCCGAGCGTGCTTTCGCCATCAAGTCAGAGTCAGCTGAGAGTGAAGCAAGGGGAAACCGTTGTAGACATAGTTGTAGCTGGTGTTGCATGAAAGCAGCGAGTTGGGTCCTTGCCAAAGCCCGTGTCAAGCTTGGTTTGGCGATTGTAATTTCGTTAATCATTTTGCTGCTGCTTTCGCGCCCCCTGTTCTACGTAGTGCTGGCCAAAACTTTGTCTCTCAGTGTGAAACTGTTTCTCAGGAGATCCATTGGTCTTTTGGTGGTGTTGCTCGATGCAATCTTAGATGAGGCCGCTGCCAGCCTTGAAACTCAACTGATCTCACAACCGAATGTGATCACTGCTTCGACGTCGCAGGTCCCACAGTATGAACTGCAACAGATTAACACTTGGCCATCGCTGTTGATTCACGGGCTCTGCATGCTCGTCGGAGCACTCTTGGGTAATCGTATGCAAAGGGCACAAGTTCCGCCCCGCTACCCTACACGCCTAAGAGTTGTTTGACTAGGTTGCCTTGCGCCTTACGGAAGTTTGGGGGTTTTGGTACTGGTTCATGCTGATAATTTGGTTTAGTAACCTAACTTTTAAGCAACACGGACCATTTCATGCAGAGAAAGCAGCCTTCAAGCATCCGAGTTCCCTTTTGCTGCCAATGGCAGTACCCAAGTGATGTGCCACCCTGGCCATCATTGACTGCAGGCGAGCCCCATGAGAAAAAATGGGGATCCAAGCCGGCTGCCAGAATGAACAACACATATATATATATAGATAAATATAGGTACTGATATACATAGATATGAATATAGCTATAGACATAAATATAGATAAATATAGATACACGTTCGTAGAATATAGATATAGAGATAGATAAGTATAGATAAAATATAGATACAAATATAGAGATGGATATATATATATATATAAATGCATATAGATACAGATATAGATATAGAGATAGATAAATATAGATAAATATAGATAAATATAGATAAATATAGATAAATATAGATAAATATAGATAAATATAGAAAAATATAGATAAATATAGATAAAAATAGATAAAGATAGATAAATATGTATATATATATATATAGATAAATATAGATATGGACATAGACATAGATAAATATAGATACAGATATGGAAATGTGCATTGCCCTTGGTGACAGTTTGACGCCAGCAGTCACCAGGCTATGGCAGAGCATTATCATGGCCGTGCTTTGTAACACGCTTTGTGAAACTGCCGAGATCTGCCATCAAATTCCAAAGAAGAATCACTGAAGGCAGATGTAGCGACAAGAAGTTGCAATGTAGCGATGGCCTAAGCCATGCAACTGATCGCTTTAGTGCGAAAAAAGGCGAGCGGAGGCTTTGAAGCAGTCGCATTTGAATCAATACCTAAGACTTCTTGATCTTCTGGCAGTTCTGCAGATTAGGAGATTCACCTGATCCGTCTTTTTGCTTTGTTCTCTCCAGATTCGGAACTATGCTGCTGGATAATGAATGCGGAATTGACATAAGTATAGTGAGATACACATTCAACATCCAACATCTCACGAAAACTTCTCCACGAAACACCAGAATAGGTCTGAGATTCAGTATCCATTTGATGAACGCCCTGCCAGCGGGAGATCTTGGCAACCTGTGCCCATCTGTGCCCTTAGACAAGTGACAAGCCTGCAGCCTAGTGATGCTGGGAAAAAGGTGCGGCCAGTGCTGCCCTATCTTGTCCATTATCCATCAGTATCTACAGTATCCTATTCTACTGGATGCGGATGATGCCCTATTCTACTGATTCTTCTGGATGCGGATGATGCGGCAGCATGCAGCGGAAAGTTGTCCGCCGCCACCCTACTTTTTCACCTGCCTTCCCGAGGTCATGTCAAAACCGAGTGTCAGGCCTTCATGGGTTGGAATGCCTGAGAGATCTGAGAGCAATCCTATCTTTGGATGGTCAAACATGGTCAAACTGTCAAATCATGTCAAATCATGTCAAAACTAGCATGGGGGGATCGTCTGACAATTGATGTTGACAAAGCAGTCTTTTGACAAGAACAATTGGAGTGACACAGGCCTGGAACAGGGAGGACATTGTGCTGATCCTGCGCCATTTCAGCGACCCTGCCAGACCTCCAGATGACCTCAGGAAAGTTGATTCGGTCTGTCTGGTTGATTCCAAGGCTAGCCACCCCCAGCAGAGATACATAGAGAAGCGTTGGGCCCTGAAAACTTTCTCAGAACCTTTGAAGAGTTGGATTTGAAGAGTTGAAAACCATTCGCAAAGCTTGTGGTGAGGCTCAAGATCTCAGCGAGGCCCATGTGCACTGTGCATTTAGAATATTTTAGGAATGACCTTTTTACTGAGTTTGTACAGTGTGCAGACACAGTCTGAACGGCTTCGTGCAACCTCATTTGACTTCCAGGTGTGAGTCAAGGTGGCAATGGCGCCGAGCAGATCACCTAGACATCAAAAGGATCTGGATCAACTTACGGCACCAGGGCAGCCAAGCAACTCCGGCACAGAATGACCTGGCAAGCACCGGCAAGCACCAGCAAGCACATGTGAACCCGTCGCAATGTTCTGGTTGAGAGATGTTGAGAGTTTGATTACAGGCAGTACTTACCGAATCGAGATTGGTGCAGCCTTCCGGGATAAGGTTTAGCGACACTTCAGAGTCGTTACACTCTAAGTTTGGTGAAAGCACTTGAGAACTTGAGAACTCTGTCATTATAGCAATTTGCATTTTCTTTGCTGAGACTGTCCCAAATCTTCAATGGGCAGCTCTTGCGACTTCAGAAGTTTGTGCAGGCTGGGTGGGGACTGGTGAAGTGAAATGTCGTGGTTGCCTCTTCAAAGGAAATTTCCGTGGGAGAACTTCCATGATGATTGATCCATATGCTCAGACTGCAGATCGCTGGTGATTGGCCGATCTTTAGTCACTTTCGCTTTTGCAGAGGAACTCTTGCGAGATGCAGTTTTTTTGCTTTCTGCGGGAGACTGGCTCTTAAATTTTGCAGAGAAAGACACACTTTTACGGTTTTTGTCCTATGAAAAGCTTTGTCAGTGCACGTGAACCAAGGCACTGAAACTTTCCCTACACCTGGTCACGATTCTTCGTGCTTTCTTTGCCTGCTTGTGCCCTGGCTGGGAGAGAAGAGCTTTGCAATTTTCCATCGAAAGTGCAAAACATGGAGCACTTGACCGATGCTGCACAGATGCTGCACAACTGCACAATCGAAGTCTTTGAAGGTGCTGCTTTCGTGGCGCTGGCAAGGTGCCCTTGGTAGATCTTGGTAGATCTTGGTAGATCTTGGTAGATCTTGGTAGATCTTGGTAGATCTTGGTAGATCTTGGTAGATCTTGGTAGTTGGTTTTGAATCCTCTTGAATCCTGTTAGCCTGCCAAGAAGGAACCGCTAAGACGCTAAGACGAAATGGAAAATAGAAAAACGTGTAGAGCAAAATAGAAAAGCCTCTCCTGGGCTGAACCGTTTCCAGGATCACCAGTTTATCTCTTGTGAGGTTGGCTTTCTGACACGGCGGTATTGGGCACTCTCCTGCTTGAATTTTCAGTTGAACACCATTTGGAGGGAGAAGACACCAGTTTATTGCTTGAGTTGAGATTGTGAGGTCTGCGGGGTGTAACAGGCTACAATACCTGGAAGGGTTCAAAAGGGAGTGTATAGGCTGTATAGGTGAATGAAGTGAAAGGGAAGCCCGGAAGAATGCAAATTTTGTTCAACAAGGATGCAACCAAGTTGTCAACATTTGTCAACATCAGCACATGGTGACGTGGGTCGTTTGGTACCCAATGGCTTGGTTCGCCAGCTCGTCACTTCCTGATACGACCGCCTGATAGCGACCCAACAGGCCAGGGCCCCGTGTAGCCTGGTGGCAGGAACCTGGCGTTCCATTTTTGCTTGCCGCCCTTCGATACCTGCCAACACTTCGACAACTTCGCAGTACGATCCTTAAGCGGGGACTATGACGTGCCACCCGGCGGAGTGACGCGGCAACACTTGGAGAAGGCCAAAGGAGCTCTGTCGGAGTGCCGAGCAGCTCCACGGGAACACGCATTTTTCGGATAGCCACAGCCACAAGGAATTCACAGAGCTCTCCATGCCTTGGATCCAACTGCTGTAAATCACAAATTCACAAAGTCCAAAATGCCCAGAAATCGAAGCCATGGCAGCCATGGTCGGACAATCTGGGACTGACCATGACACGGCCTGAGTTGAGGCATTTTCCATGGCCAAGGGGTTAGGGGATCACTACCGTCAGGAGTCTTAGCCAAGTTGGATGTGGTCCTCATCATGGAGGATTGGGGCCTTGGGGATCCACGACCCGACTGTGACATTGGGATCGGTGTTTTTGTTGGGCCTGTTACCCACCCAAAACGAGTCGACCCTGAAATGGTCGGTACTTGGAAGATGAGTTTCCTGTATAAACTAGTGATTTTCAGGGTTTTCGATAGTTTTCCAGGATGTAGGGGATTTTTTGCTATCCATGTTCTCTTTGTTTGTTTTAGTGTTTCAATCAGACTATCAGAATTAGATGTAAAAGACCCGGGACGATAAGACGGAAAGACTTAGTATGAAATCGGTTTGCACTATTCCAACTATTGGTGAAAGGTAAAGCCGACAGGAAGACTTTGGTAAACTCAGTAAAATCCATGGTTTCCTCGAAACTTTCCATCAACAAATGGATGGCACCATGGTTTTTGAATCCAATCATGGCCGTCACATTCGTCTCACTGTCCAATAGAAGGTGACATCAGTGACCACCACCTTCGTCGGGTCCCAGCCGGGCGCACTTTGAGTTGTGGCAAAATGGCAGTGGATATAATCACCATCACTCTCCTCAGTGTAGTCATCATTCAGTACGGATATCGTCAGCACGATCAATGCTATGATTGACTGGTATTTTCACTTGGTGATGACGACCGCTATTTCTTATGGCTCCTGAGATGCTGTCGTGTTTGTCATCAACATTGTTTTTACTGTCATCATTGTTTTTTGTTGGAAACGTTGGTGAGTTGATACTTGTTATTCTTACCATCATCAAAAGTCTGAACCACAACGGTGATCAGTCGCCTGACTCTTGAAAGGTGGTCATTACTATCCGTAGCATAATTTTTGTAAGCATTACTTGTATTTTTTCCCCAAAACATGCTAATAATCTAGCTATTTTCATCCAAGGGCATACTGAACAGATTTATGTAGAGCCGTGGCTGTTCTTTACTATTGGTATTCATTACTATCAGTATCAGTGATCAGTTTCATCATTATCGGTATCATTGTCACTATCATTATTTGTACTCTTATCAATAGTACTAGCAATACCGCATTGCTATCACTATCATTCTCATTCCAGTTATTATTACACTTATCATCATCATCATCATCATCATCAGCACCACCACTATCTTCATTATCATCATCGTCATCATCACCACCATCATCATCATCATCATCACCACCATCATCATCATCATCACCACCACCATCTTCATTATCATCATAATCATCATCAGCACCACCACCACCACCACCACCACCACCATCTTCATTATCATCATAATCATCATCATAATCATCATCAGCACCACCACCACCACCATCATCATCATCATCATCATCATCATCATTTTCATCACCATTCATAATAATAGTAATCATCATCATCATCATCATCATCATCATCATCATCATCTTCATCACCACTTATCATCATCATCTTCATCACCATCATCATCATCATCATCATCACCAGCATCAGCATCATCATCATCATCATCATCATCACCAGCATCAGCATCATCATCATCATCATCATCATCTTCATCTTCATCTTCATCTTCATCTTCATCTTCATCTTCAACACCATTCATCATCATCACCAGATGTCAAAGTTTGGATGTCAAAGTTTGGATGTCAAAGTTTGGAGTTCAATTTGTTTCCGGGGGGACGGGATGGCAAGTGAAACAGCCTTTTGCGTCCAAGCTGCAACGGGTCACTACGGCTAGGCCTACGATGCCCAACTGCGGGATGTGGAGTCCTCCAAGGAGGGGACAGCGAAGGGAAGCGGCGGGGAAGGGAAGGGGAGGGAGCTTTGGGAAGGGAAGACAGGATCAAAGTCACTGAGAAATAATACAGCAATTATCAGCAATCATTGTATATGCATGTATATGATTGTATATGCATTTATTTGACTTTTCTCATTTGACTTTTTGGCAGTTCCTGCCAGTCAGACCTTGGTGGACACAGCACCCAGGATTGTAAGGTCGATTTCAAGAGCAGCAGCAGCAAAGCCTGCAAAATGAAGAAGAAGCACTTGAAGAAAGTCATGCCCTTAGCTGTTGTTTGAGCTGTCGACCATGACCATCAACATGCATCTTGAACTAAGGCCATTGTGCCAGGAAACCAATGGCGATGGCCCAAAATTAAGGATCCTCAAAAATGCACGCTTCCCCACTAAATATATCCAAATATGACCATTCGGGTCTTTTGGTAACCCTTTTCTGAGCCCCAGATGTCCACGAACACCATTCCAGCGGACTATCATGGACTTGTCCTATGCTCGTGTGGCGCAGACTTCGATCTCGCAGACGGCCATTCGATCCATTCGATTCGTGACTCGCCGTGACACGAAGCCGAAGCCCGTGACAGGTCCTCGGATTTCATCGCGGCAGACTTCTATCATCATCCTTGGGAACCCTTGGAACCCTAGAAATTGGTCAGGTTTTCCACACTACCATAAGAACATAAACATGACCCACCATGACCCAACGGGTGAACGGGGTGAGGAACCGGGTGAGGTTTGGTTGGCCAACCTTTGCCCTGTAGCGGTGAGTCAGGTGCTCGACTTCACCCTGAAGAAACGTGGCGTCCCCGAAGGCCCCAGCGCACCTCGGCTTTGTGGGGTATTGGTACCATGATGACTTGATCCAGCTCGCCAAATGGTTGAGTCTTGCGATGGACCAGCTTAGTTGTCCCTTGGGGTCGATTTCTCGTGCAGATGCGCTGAGTGCATCGCGCGACCAGTGCATCTCAGGATCGGCGACCGGATCGACCGGATAGACCCCGACGAAAGCGAAAAAATGACACCCCTGACTTTGCGGATCAGTGGTTTGACCAACGAAGGCCTTGATGGCGTGCTGATGCTGCAACTGTTTGGTGGGACCTATATGAGCGAATCGAAGTTGCAAAATATGCAGCAAAATGCACTGATCTTCAAAAATCATTGGGACCTGACATTTCTTGCTGACTCGGATGATGAAAATCGATGAAGACAGTTCCCAAAGCGTTGCCAGTACCCAGGGAAGAGTGGGATGCTTTCTTTGAAGAGTTCAAGGAGAGTCACTTTGTCAGACGGTTTTGGGACGGTCTGGTGGGCCTGGTTTCTGACCAGGAAGTCAGTTTTTCGGTGACCATTTTGGTACGACGTTTAGTATTTGGATGCTGCGATGCGATGGAGCATGATGAGTTGAAAGTTGGGATGATGCGAACTCTCTGACTGAACATGGCCATGCTGAAGCTGGCAGCAATTCTTTGCAAGCTGAGGTACCTCCCGCATGTTCAAGACCGATGACAAGGCAGCAACGCGGGTGCCTTGAGAAGAATTCGGATTCTACCCTCAAGTGTGTGACCTGGAAACACAGGAAACCATTGGTTTTACGATTCTACGATACAAACTCAGGTTTTCCTTAGTCAATTTTCGGGTAAACCAATGAACCTAAACCCATCTAAACCGCACATCTTCGTAGGTTACAACCCAATACAACCCATATTTTGGACAGTAAAACCTCGAATTAAAATCTTGATTTTTTCCAATGATTTTCTTGTCACGGTAGGGTAAGAACTCTTCATTTTCATGTCGCCGCCATGCTCGTATTCTCTTGTACCAGGCTTCAAATGACGAATTGTGAGCAAAAAGTGATCGAACGTCGAAGGTCGTCTGCAACCAACCCAGTACCACGTGGCGATGCTGTCAGCAGATGATGATAGACCATGACAGATACAGATTTACAATTCGATGTTCGATGAGTGACATTTCTTCGAATTAAAAAACATATCAGCAAAGACCATGAAATCGTTGGAAACTGGTTGGAGCTCTTGATATCTGGCTGTGTATCGTCGTGTGGTTTCCATCGTCGTGTTGGCTCAAAGCCTCTCTTGGGGTGTCGCATGAGGACAGCGGGAGATGTGTGGGCGGGTGCTGAGATAACTGGGCAGGTATGGATTCGGTGTTGGTGACATTTTTGAACCCGATTTGAACAAGGTGGTCGCAATATGTTGAGAACAGCAATGCCTGAGCGTATGATATCTATGTCTCTCCCAAAATTGGTGTGCCTGGCTTGAAAAATGGTCCTCCATGGAATGTCGCAGCAGTGCCAAAGAATCCGATGTACACAACCAGCTGCAGGATCTCAAAGAGGAACTTCAAGTGCAGAGGCCTTTTCCAGCGACTTTGTCAACTTGAATAAATCAGGAAAAGCAACTCTCAAGGATTTTCCACCATCATTTCTTGCCATTGTTGAACTGGCGTTTAAAGCGTCGACTTGAGACTTCCCCGAAATCCAGGCAACAAGTGGAAAGGCGGCAGGGGGAGCGGCAAGAGGTGCCCTAAAAGCGTCATACCACACCCTGCTGTTCCATCTCTGGACAAAAACGGGCAGACAACCTACCAAACAAAGATTTGTGCAAACAGATTAGTAAAGCTGGCGACTTGGAGAGGTCTGTTTGTCTGTCTTTCTCGAAAGTGGTCAAAGGCAGCAGAAGAGCTGTCAAGTTCCAGAGAAGAAGCTGCACAACTCTCGATGCGGTCCCCAAGGCACGATCAGGTTTTTCTGGTATTTTCTGGTCCATGTTATGTATAATTTCTATTGACATGAAATTTTGTTCATATAGTTTGGTAAAATATCATGCGGGTTGTTTTTTTTGGATTTTGCAAGTCAATTAGTGCCTCGGCTATCTGTCCATCAGCCGTTTTTGGATGCTGCTTGCGCAATTAGTTGCTTTCCACATAGCAGCAGTGCCATGGGGCAAGGCGAGTCCAAGCAGCCCGTGGTGGGCTTCTCGCCAAGTGGGTTCCTTGTGACGCAGGAGGAGATGAATGAAATCATCACTTCTTGCACAGAACATGCAGCTGGGCTGCAGGCAGCATCCACTCTGACTGAGGAGCAACAAAAGACATTGCGAAAGCGGTGTCAGGTCATGTATGCCTTGGTCGACGGAGTGAAGCTGGACGCCTTGCTCAACTACAACAAATGGAAAGATAAGTTTGAGCTCCTTCAAAATCAAGTAAAGGCTTCGGAGGAGATCCCCGCCCAGGTGCTTTCGATCTTGATGCTGTGGTACGGCCTTCCATCTGCGCTGAAGGATGTGGATCTAGACGATCTGTTCAAAAAAATACCGGACGAGAAGAACGCTATTACAAATTTTGCGGACAAGACGGGCTTGTCCGTGATGATGAAACTTGGGAAAGGTGTCTACACTGCTTGCAAGCAAGGCAGGCGCACGTTCCTGGAAAACCTTGACGATGGCATGACTGAGATACAGCGTCTCCTCACGCAGCCCACGCCGCAGGAGCAACATGAACTGTACCAGCTACTGAATCATGACATAGCAGAGAACGACCTTGTCTTTCACAAGTTGAGGTTGGCTATGAAGGGAAGATTGGATGCAATGATTGCCGGCCATTGCTTTGCTGCCACCGGCTGGTACTTTTCTTACACTCCGAACCCAATGAAATCAAAGGAGCCGACCCTGAAAGTGGGAATGTTCGCAACTGTTTGGACTGAATACAAATGCCAGTGCATCGTTGAAGAGGGTGTCAACTTATCGGAGGAGCTGTTCTGGCAAATGGTTCCAGACAAACCAGGTCGAACTAAAAGAATAGAAGGAGAACACGGACAATTCAAAGTACATTACGACCTTTACCGTTGAAATGCTGTGTAGCAGAATAGATGTAATGCTAGTGCCGAATCTAGCTGTAGGAGCCCTATGTCCAAAGTTGCGGTTGATAGGTCTGAGCTTGTTCTGCCAGCACTCAAAAGACGTGCCGGCTGGGCAAAACCATATCATAGAATATTTCTTGAAGGATGTGTGCACTCACTGAAAGTGATGAACACCTTATCGAAAAACCAGAAGAGATGAACTGTGCCCTGCAGGTCGCCAGTGAAGCCACGGTGGAGGATTCTTCTGCCGTGCTGCGGAGGCACTTCCGATTGGAACGTTTGTCCATGGTGCTATCCCAAATCATAGGATAAAGCTCTAAGTTGCCTCAATGAATAATTTGACCCAGCCACGGTAAGTTCCGCTGTCCCCCAATTTCGGTCAACTCTGGGTCATGCCGGAAGCGTGTAAATCCTCAGCGTGAGAAGATAGGTGTAACAGCTGGACCAGAGCACCATTTTGCTCGTCCCACTGCGGATTTTGGAGATGCCACGGAGCTTCGGAAGCTTCAGGAGTGGTGAATTTGGTGTGGCAGAAACAAACCAAAGGTTTTTGAGGTCACAAAACTGAAGATTGATAATTTGTAGAAAAAAAACAATTGTTTGTAATATATATATATGTTTGAGGTCAAAAAACTTCCATTTTTGGGGGAATGATGTTTTTTTCCCCAAACAGGCTTACCTGTATGGGGTTCTTACTCCTTTCAAAGGGTTGCATCCCTGGGCCGCATGAGTTTCCACTTGTCTCCCCCTCGTCTCCCACTCTGGGTGCCTTGGGCCGCATGAGTTTACACTTGTCTCCCCCTCGTCTCCCACTCTGGGTGCCTTGGGCCGCATGAATTTACACTTGTCTCCCCCTCGTCTCCCACTCTGGGTGCCTTGGGCCGCATGAGTTTACACTTGTCTCCCCCTCGTCTCCCACTCTGGGTGCCTTGGGCCGCATGAGTTTCCACTTGTCTCCCCCTCGTCTCCCACTCTGGGTGCCTTGGGCCGCATGAGTTTACACTTGTCTCCCCCTCGTCTCCCACTCTGGGTGCCTTGGGCTGCATGAATTTACACTTGTCTCCCCCTCGTCTCCCACTCTGGGTGCCTTGGGCCGCATGAGTTTACACTTGTCTCCCCCTCGTCTCCCACTCTGGGTGCCTTGGGCCGCATGAATTTACACTTGTCTCCCCCTCGTCTCCCACTCTGGGTGCCTTGGGCCGCATGAGTTTACACTTGTCTCCCCCTTGTCTCCCACTCTGGGTGCCTTGGGCCGCATGAATTTACACTTGTCTCCCCCTTGTCTCCCACTCTGGGTGCCTTGGGCCGCATGAGTTTACACTTGTCTCCCCCTTGTCTCCCACTCTGGGTGCCTTGGGCCGCATGAGTTTACACTTGTCTCCCCCTGTCTCCCACTCTGGGTGCCTTGGGCCGCCACTTGTCTCCCCCTTGTCCTCCCACTCTGGGTGCCTTGGGCCGCATGAATTTGCCTTGGCCGCATGAGTTTACACTTGTCTCCCCCTTGTCTCCCACTCTGGGTGCCTTGGGCCGCATGAATTTACACTTGTCTCCCCCTCGTCTCCCACTCTGGGTGCCTTGGGCCGCATGAGTTTACACTTGTCTCCCCCTGTCTCCCACTCTGGGTGCCTTGGGCCGCATGAGTTTACACTTGTCTCCCCCTTGTCTCCCACTCTGGGTGCCTTGGGCCGCATGAGTTTACACTTGTCTCCCCCTCGTCTCCCACTCTGGGTGCCTTGGGCCGCATGAGTTTACACTTGTCTCCCCCTCGTCTCCCACTCTGTGCCTTGGGCCGCATGATTTACCTTGTCTCCCCCTCGTCCCCACTCTGGGTGCCTTGGGCCGCATGAGTTTACACTTGTCTCCCCCTCGTCTCCCACTCTGGGTGCCTTGGCCCGCATGAGTTTACACTTGTCTCCCCCTTGTCTCCCACTCTGGGTGCCTTGGGCCGCATGAGTTTACACTTGTCTCCCCCTCGTCTCCCACTCTGGGTGCCTTGGGCCGCATGAGTTTACACTTGTCTCCCCCTCGTCTCCCACTCTGGGTGCCTTGGGCCGCATGAGTTTACACTTGTCTCCCCCTTGTCTCCCACTCTGGGTGCCTTGGGCCGCATGAATTTACACTTGTCTCCCCCTCGTCTCCCACTCTGGGTGCCTTGGGCCGCATGAGTTTACACTTGTCTCCCCCTCGTCTCCCACTCTGGTGCCTTGGGCCGCATGAGTTTACACTTGTCTCCCCCTTGTCTCCCACTCTGGGTGCCTTGGGCCGCATGAGTTTACACTTGTCTCCCCCTCGTCTCCCACTCTGGGTGCCTTGGGCCGCATGAGTTTACACTTGTCTCCCCCTTGTCTCCCACTCTGGGTGCCTTGGGCCGCATGAGTTTACACTTGTCTCCCCTTGTCTTCACTCTGGGGTGCCTTGTGTCCTCATGAATTTACACTTGTCTTGAGTTTTACACTTGTCTCCCCCTCGTCTCCCACTCTGGGTGCCTTGGGCCGCATGAGTTTACACTTGTCTCCCCCTCGTCTCCCACTCTGGGTGCCTTGGGCCGCATGAGTTTACACTTGTCTCCCCCTTGTCTCCCACTCTGGGTGCCTTGGGCCGCATGAATTTGCCTTGGGCCGCATGAGTTTACACTTGTCTCCCCCTTGTCTCCCACTCTGCGTGCCTTGGGCCGCATGAGTTTGCACTTGTCTCCCCCTCGTCTCCCACTCTGGGTGCCTTGGGCCGCATGAGTTTACACTTGTCTCCCCCTTGTCTCCCACTCTGGGTGCCTTGGGCCGCATGAGTTTACACTTATCTCCCCCTTGTCTCCCACTCTGGGTGCCTTGGGCCGCATAAGCTTACACTTGTCTCCCCCTTGTTTCCCACTCTGGGTGCCTTGTACACTTGTCTCCCCCTTGTCTCCCACTCTGGGTGCCTTGGGCCGCATGAGTTTACACTTGTCTCCCCCTTGTCTCCCACTCTGGGTGCCTTGGGCCGCCTGAGTTTACACTTGTCTCCCCCTTGTTTCCCACTCTGGGTGCCTTGGGCCGCATGAGTTTACACTTGTCTCCCCCTTGTCTCCCACTCTGGGTGCCTTGGGCCGCATGAGTTTACACTTGTCTCCCCCTCGTCTCCCACTCTGGGTGCCTTGGGCCGCATGAGTTTACACTTGTCTCCCCCTCGTCTCCCACTCTGGGTGCCTTGGGCCGCATGAGTTTACACTTGTCTCCCCCTTGTCTCCCACTCTGGGTGCCTTGGGCCGCATGAATTTACACTTGTCTCCCCCTTGCCTCCCACTCTGGGTGCCTTGGGCCGCATGAGTTTACACTTGTCTCCCCCTTGTCTGCCTTGGGCTCCCACATTTGTCTCCCACATTGTCTCCCACACTTGTCTCCCACTCTGGGTACACTTGTCTCCCACTTGTCTCCCACACTTGTCTCCCACACTTGTCTCCCCCTTGTCTCCCACACTTGTCTCTCACTCTGGGTGCCTTGGGCCGCATGAGTTTACACTTGTCTCCCACTTGTCTCCCACACTTGTCTCCCAGACTTGTCTCCCACTCTGGGTGCCTTGGGCCGCATGAGTTTACACTTGTCTCCCCCTTGTCTCCCACTCTGGGTGCCTTGGGCCGCATGAGTTTACACTTGTCTCCCACATGTCTCCCACTTGTTACCCACTTGTCTCCCACACTTGTCTCCCACACTTGTCTCCCACTCTGGGTTCCTTGGGTTGCATGGGTTTACACTTGTCTCCCCCTTGTCTCCCACCCTGGGTGCCTTGGGTCGCATGAGTTTACACTTGTCTCCCACTTGTCTCCCACACTTGTCTCCCACTCTGGGTTCCTTGGGCCGCTTGAGCTTACACTTGTCTCCCCCTTGTCTCCCACTCTCGGTTCCTTGGGCCGCATGAGTTTACACTTGTCTCCCTCTTGTCTCCCACTATGGGTGCCTTGGGCCGCATATGAGTTTACACTTGTCTCCCCCTTGTCTCCCACTTGTCTCCCACACTTGTCTCCCACACTTGTCTCCCACTCTGGGTGCCTTGGGCCGCATGAGTTTACACTTGTCTCCCCCTCTTCTCCCACTCGTGGTTCCTTGGGCCGCATGAGTTTACAGTTGTCTTCCCCTTGTCTCCCAGACAAGTGTGGGAGACAAGGGGCAGACAAGTGTAAACTCATGCGGCCCAAGGCACCCAGAGTGGGAGACAAGGGGGAGACAAGTGTAAACTCATGCGGCCCGAGGCACCCAGAGTGGGAGACAAGTCTGGGAGACAAGTGTGGGAGACAAGTGTAAACTCATGCGGCCCAAGGCACCCAGAGTGAGAGACAAGTGTGGGAGACAAGGGGGAGACAAGTGTAAACTCATGCGGCCCAAGGCACCCAGAGTGGGAGACAAGGGGGGGACAAGTGTAAACTCATGCGGCCCAAGGAACCCAGGGTGGGAGACAAGTCTGGGAGACAAGTGTGGGAGACTGGGAGACAAGTGGGAGGCGGCCCAAGGCACCCTGAGTCGGAGACAAGTGGGAGGCAAGTGTGCGAGACAAGTGTGGGAGACAAGTGGGAGACAAGTGTAAACTCATGCGGCCCAAGGCACCCAGAGTGAGAGACAAGTGTGGGTGCCTTGGGTCGCATGAGTTTACACTTGTCTCCCACTTGTCCCCCACTTGTCTCCCACACTTGTTTCCCACTCTGGATTCCTTGGGCCGCATGAGTTTACACTTGTCTCCCCCTTGTCTCCCACACTTGTCTCTCACTCTGGGTGCCTTGGGCCGCATGAATTTACACTTGTCTCCCACTTGTCCCTCACACTCGGGTGCCTTGGGCCGCATGAGTTTACACTTTTCTTGCACTTGTCTCCCACACTTGTCTCCCACTCTGGGTGTCTTGGAGCGCATGATGTTACACATGTCTCCCACTTCGCTCCCACCCTTGTCTTCCACACTTGTCTCCCACTCTGGGTGCCTTGGGCCGCATGAGCTTACACTTGTCTCCCACACTTGTCTCCCACTCTGTGTGTCTTGGGCCGCATGATTTTACACTTGTCTCCCACTCGTCTCCCACACGTGTCTCCCACTCTGGATGTCTTGGGGCGCATGAGTTTACACTTGTCTCCCACTTGTCCCTCACACTTGGGTGCCTTGGGCCGCATGAGTTTACACTTGTCTCCCCCTTGTCTCCCACTCTGGGTTTCTTGGGCCGCATGAGT